CGGGGAGGATTAGCGAAGCACGCGCCTTCTTTTCTTCTCCAGGAATTTTATGGTGACGGGCTTGCAGGATATCGACAAGTGCCGGCAGCAGCTTCACGATATCAGCGTGCCCTTGGAAGTTTTTGAGTAAGTAACCGCGTGCCTGGAAGGGAAGGTGTTGCAGGCTGTGGGGCTTGAGGTGGCCAGTCTGTGTGGTGTTGGATCCTCCCACGGAGATTTGGGTGTTTCTTGAAACGCTGTTTTCAGGGTATCTCGCTGCAATGCGAAGGCAGAAGGGTATGAGAAAGGGCAAACTGTACATCCGCTTTCTTTTAGGCCTACGCCTTTTTTTTTCCTACCTATGTTGCATAGCGTTGTAGTAGGTAGAGTCTATCTTACTGCCTATGTCTAGTGACTTGCTAGGTAAGCTTTCATTTTAGAAAAATACTTTTACGCTATGTTCAAATCAGGATGGAAAGTTGCAGGTGAAAATATATAAGGCCAATGTTTAGGTGTTTAATTTCATCAGCAGCCATCTTCTTGTTGGTGCAGAATTAAAACAGTACAAATTAAGTCATGAATGTGGAGGAAAGAGCTATGCAAGATAGCTTTTACAGTGTAACTCTCAAGTTAGCGTACTAATCTTCTGTCTTTTGGTCCAGATGGCGTTGGTTTGCTACATTCTGGTGTGTTACTCACTGCAGGATTTTCTCAGGAAGGCTTTTCACTCTTTATTCTAGTAGTTTATGTTAATAGTTTTATAGATCTTCCATTTCCTGTATACAATAACAAAATATCTCTTTGCCAATTACATTTTGTTTATATCACAAAGCAAAAATATGCTTTTATGTTTGCTGATTCAGCTGTGTTAATTTTTGTTAACCCTTGTACAGACACTTCCTCCTCATCCTTGAATTGCTAGGTACCTTATTCCTAGGTGTCCACAGCTAGTTGGTATGTCCTGAGCAGCTTTAGGGTCAGTTTCCTCTCCTTTGCTTGGAAAAGGATCGCCTTTCTCTTTCATGTGGAAGGTGTTGTCCAATTGTCTGTGAAGAATTGAGTAGCTATATTTTTGTTTGCTTTTAATAACTTCCTCAAAGCTCCAGACTTCCTGGAAATAAAAGACTGAGCCAGCTGTTTGCAGGACCCAAGCTTGTCTTCCTTGAGTTACCATTTTGAAAATGCCCAACCTAAACCATGTTTTAAAGTGCACATTTCAGTAACAGAAAGAAAGCAGTGTGAATAATTCTGTTTCTTGGTGAAAATCCTAGTGGGAATATGATCATTTAGGTGGTATCTCTTACATTTACAGATATATCGATCAAGGCCGTAATCCTCAGCTTTACACCAAAGAGTGTCTGGAGCGAGCTTTGGCTAAGAATGAGCAAGTAAAAGGAAAAATTGACACAATGAAGGTAAACCAGAAATAATGAGTTTGCAAATGTAACAAAACCTTTTTTTGATAAGTTCTTACTTATTTATAAATTTGTATATTTTTCATTTGTGCAGTTATTAAATTTTCCTTACTGGGTGGCTTGAATTAGGGATTGCTCTGCATCTCTGTATTTTAACTGGTGATGATACAGCCTATTCTAAAAAGGAAATTTCTACTTTGCCCTGCAATTGGAGAAACAGATATTGGCATGATTCTGTTTTGGCTAAATGTGTGTATTGTGTTATAGACTAGGATGGGTCTTGGAGTACTACAGTGGCAGGTGGTATGTGAGCCCAAGCTAATAGTCATGAAATGACTTAAAATCTATGCCAGTGGTTAGATTTTCTGAACTTGTAGTTTCATCCGATAAGAACCTGACCATTCTGTTACAGTGTTTAATCATTGGAATTTACTGCTGAAAAATGCTATCAGAAAATGATATTCAGTAAAATTCAAGAAAGGGTTGTTTGTGCTGCAAAACATAGACACATCTCCACATATCATAAACTTCTCTTCTTTCTTTTGGTGTAATGCTCCATGCTTGTAAAAGTTGTATCTTATCAGAGGTGGAGAAGATTCCATATCAGATCAAGTGCACCTGTCCTTTATCAGCTCTGCATTAATAAAGATCATCTAAAAAATCTTGTTTGTAATTAAGAAGGTGTAACTGGAGCATAGTGTGTTTTAAGTTGTGAAATTTGTGGTTATTTGTGGAATAAGTTTGTGGTTAGTCAGTGGAAACTAGTCAAAACAAGATGTGCAGATCTCATTCTGCTCTGGTTTCCTGTTCCTTCTGGTCGATCTTGGGCTAGTAATGGGAGGTGGAGAGGGAAGGGAGGAGGGAAGCACTACATACTTTCCTAGGATTTCGATGTTGCCAGTAACTTATCCTACACTTCCTGCATCCTGTTTTACTTCAAAGGGAAATAAGATACTGAAATAGTTCTGTATGTTTTTGTTTTTCTTCTTCCCGTCCCCTGAGATGAGAAAGTAATTGCAGTAATGAAGGGTTTTGGATCATAAATTGCCTCAGAAATTGCATGGAAAGAGGTGGAAAACATTGAAAGGGAAGGTAGTAATAAAAGTAATAAGAATAAAGTATTTTGGAGCTTAAGTTTACAAGTATAACACATTTTCACTGCAGGTTGTGCTAATCTTTAAATTACAATTCTTGGAAGGAACTGTTTAGAGCCTTTAAGGACCGGACAAAAACCAGTGCACCTGAGTTTAAAGGAAAGATCCAGCTACTCTGTATTTCTTGGACAGGTGCAAATGCTAGTTAGTTCAGGAAATTAAAAACATTTTAGTTTGTCTGATACTTTCTTAGCAGATTTTACTTGAGTATTTTCTGTGAATTCTGTAATGTCACTTTCTGGTTCTTGTTTGATTTTTTGATACAGTTCTTTCTGGTCATTGAAATGTATAACTAGACTTCGTTGTATACAGACATCTGTATTCATCAGATAGCACTGCTTGATGGATTCTAAATAAAATGGTGCGGGTGATGTGTATGCATTTTCTTCTCTTTCCAGAAATTTAAAAGTCTGTTAATTCAAGAGCTAACCAAGGTGTTCCCTGAAGACATGGCAAAGTACAAAGCTATTCGAGGTGAAGATCCTCCTCCTTAAGTTGGCCTTCAATAGCTCTAGAAATGTCAATTCTATAAACTGACACCTCTCTTTATCAAAGCATTGTTTGAAGGGACAACAACTATACTAAAAAATATGGCAGTGATAGACTGGAAAGGAACTTGATGATCACTGATGGTTCTGCTTCTGAAGCTACTGAATCTTTCTGAAGACTTATGCTCAAAGATTGCAGTTGAAACTTCCTGTGATACCTGCAGGCAGTTATACTACATTTTCCACAAAGTGCATTTCCAGAGCAGAAAAACGAATTTTTTTGTTTTCTGGTAAGTGTGCTCCAGGACTGTGGATTGATCTGTTTTTAGGATAAAAGTATTTATTATACCTGATTGTTTTTCATTTGTAAACTGCTTTTTTTATTGCAGTAAAAAAAACAAAAGACTGCTTTCATCTTACAGAATTGTACTGAAATGGAGCCCATCAAGGGGACTGCAGTTTTCATGTGTCTTAATGATTGCAGCCAAGAAGACATTTTTGTTTTGTTCTGTGAGCTGCAGTGCAGATAGCTGTGGACATAGAAAGCGAGCCTATTCAGGGATTAGCTCCTCAACAATGTTTATTTTGTGTAATAATATTTAATGTAGACACTTCTAATTCTATTAATTTTCTGTAAGCAAATTGTACAATAAAAACTTGGGGAAAAAATCTAGTATGTTTCAGTCCAAGTGCCACTCTTCAACCTATGAACTGAAAGCTCTGGAAAGCAGCACATTCCTCAGTCTCACAGTGATAGAAGTAAAATCAAAACTTGAGTGTTAAAAGTTTATGTTTGAAGCTAATGTAAACTTCATGTTTTGGTTCTTGTGAGGAAAGCTTCTAATAGCCGGAGCAGGAGATTTTGGGGATCAGTGATTGTGTTTAGCTGCAAACTCATCTGTAAAATTGATGGCTGCTTATATGTAATATAGTCCTGCAGTCCATGACCTGCAGTTGCATAAATTTCAGTGATGAAATACTGCATATTGACAATCTTTTGTATAACTGCAGGTGCATATTAGCATTATATTAAAGTGTATTTGAATATGCAAATATGCAGTCCTCCAAATACGTGCAAACAGAAAGTGTGCATCTTCCAGATTCTGATGCATTTACTGTACTGTACATACCATACTGTACTGATTTATACCAAAAAGACATTTTCTCATGGAAGACCCTGGAAGCCTTTTCTTCAACTGTAATTCTGTAGATTAGGTTTAGGGGGGTTTTTTATTTTATTTTTACAAATGCCTTCACTTCACAAGGGCAGGGTTTACTAGAATTTTATTTTGTCACTTAATTTTATCGGCTCAGGTCTGTGATTAGGCAGATACAACTTTAGTGCTGTTGCTTATATTTCTTCAGTGAATATTCTCATGCACATAGTATCATAAAATTCTATGTTGTCACCTTATATTTAGTATTAATATATGATCACAAATGAAAACAGTGGCAGAGTGTACCCAAAGCAACAACTGATACTTAAATGAGATTAAAATTTGCATCTTTTTGTCAAGTGTATATGTATAACTGAACCACTTGATGCTGTGGCTATTTCATCTAAAAACTGAATCTTCTAGACTATAAAAGCTTAGTATTCGTATTTCCTTTGGGAAAAGATTAATCGACTTAACTCCTTTTACCTCCCTTTCTCTATTCATGACCAGCTAATGCAGTACAAATAGAGAGAAGGGGGGGGGGGGAAAAAGCTCTTAAGAGCACAACCTTTTGGAGGTCTGGTCAGTTCTTTTTTTAGGGTATTTTAGTGTGGATAATACAGTCTTGTTACGAAAAACTTTCTTCTTGCTTGGAACCACTTTTTAAAAACGTGTAGCCAACATTTCTAAAGTACTAAGGCTATCAACCATTCCTTTTTTTATTGCATGAAGATTCTCAGGTATAATTAGTGGAAACATCAAGTTCAGCTTAATACAAACCCACCAGAAGCTGGAAAAGGAACGCCGACATAAGGAGATGAAACAAAATACTAGGATCACATCTTCATTTACTGTGGAACCAGAACCCTGTTCCCTCCGCTCCCAAATCAGAAGTGCTGGATGAATTTCAAAAGAGTAAGCAAGCACAGAAAGTAAGAAAAAAAGTCTGATCTTTTCATTTACAGAACCACAGAAGAATGGAGGGAAGGTGGAGCGGAGTGGAAGGGACTGCTGAGGCCCAACCACCTCCTCAGAACAGGGTCAACTAGAGCGGGTTGCTCAGGGCTTTGTTGAGTCAAGTTTTCATTGTCTCTAAGGATGCAGACTCCACAAGCTCTCTGGGCAACCTGTTCCAGTGTTTGATCATCCATACAGTGAAAGATATGTTCATCTCGAATGTACTGTATTTCAGTTTGTGCCCGTTGCCTCTCATCCTGTAACTGGACACCAAGAAAAGTTTGGGTCCGTGTGCTTTACACCATTCTGTCAGATATTTACACATTGGTAAGATCCTCCTGAGCCTTACCTTCTCAAGGCTAAACAAGCCCAGCTCTCTCAACCTGTCCTTGTAGGACTGATGCTCCAGTCCATTCATCATCTTAGTGGCCCTTCACTGGACTTGCTCTAGGAGCTCCATGTCTCTCTTATACTAGAGAGCCCAGAACTGAATACAGTCCTCCAGGTGTGGCTTCCCCAGTGCTGAGTAGAGGGGAAGGATCACCTCCCTCGACTTCCTGCCTCTTTCTAATGCAGCCTAGGATATCGTTGGCCACCTTTGCCACAAGGGCATGTTGCTGTCTCATATTCAACTCACTGTCCAGTGAGACTCCCAGGTCCTTTCCTGCAAAGCTGTTCTTGGGGTCATTGGCCTGCAGTATGCACAGGTGCATGGGGTTATTCCTCCTCAGATGCAGGACCTAGCATTTATCTTTCTTGAACTTCATGAAGTTCCTCTCTCTCTCCAGCCAAGGTCTGCCCCTCTGAAAGGCAGTGCAACCCTGTGGTGTGTCAGCCACTCCTCCCAGTTTTGTTTCATTAGCAAACTTGCTGAGGATGCGTTTGATCCCATTGCACAGGTCATTAATGAAGATGTTAAGCAGAGGTGGCCCGAGTATCAACCCCTGGGGTACACCAATAGTGACAGGCCACCAACTGGGCTTCATGATGCTGATCACAACTCTCTGAGCCTGACAGTTCAGCTAGTTTTTGATCCACCTGACTGTACATTCGTCTAGCCCATATTTCATTAGCTTGTCTAGTAGGATGTTACAGGAGACGTTCTCAAAAGCCTTGCCAAAGTCAAGATAAACAGCATCTACTTCTCTCCCCTCATCCACCAAGCCAGGCATTGCATCAGAGAACGCTAACAGGTTGGGCAGGCATGATCCCTCCCTTTGTAAATCCGTGGTGACTACACCCAGCCAGCTTCTTGTCCTTAATATGTTTGGAAATGGTTCCATCACTTTGGAATGGCTCCATCACTTTCCCAGGGTCTGAAGTGAGGCTGACCAACCTGTAGCTCACTGGATCCTCCTTCTCATACTTCTTGAAGATAGGAGTGACATTTGCTTTCTTCCAGTCCTCAGGCACTTCCCCCAGTCACGATGACCTCTCAGAGATAATCGAGAGTGGCTTCACAATGACACTGAGCAGCTCCCTCAGCGCTTGTGGGTGCATCGCATCAGGTTGCATAGACCTGTGTACTGGCGATTTGTTCAAGTGTTTCCTAACCTCATCATCCTCCCCAAAGGGTAAGTCTAACTTTCTGCAGATTTTCCCTCTGGTCTCCAAGGCCTAGCATTCCTGAGGGCTGGTCTTACCAGCTTACCAGTAACGACTGAGGCAAAGAGGGCATTCAGTACCTCTGCCTCTTCTGTGTCCTTTGTCCCTAGGACCCTGCCCCATTTAGCAGCAGGGCCACATTTTCCCTAGGCTTCATTTTGTAGCTGCTTATGTACTTGTAGACGCCTGCCTTGTTGCCCTTCACATCTCTTGACAGATTGACCTGCGGATGGGCTTTCACTTTCCTAACCCCATCCTTACAGTTTAAGCTCTTGGTATGTTATAAAATTTGACCTGAAGGATATCTATATTGTTTGAAAATGTTAATGTATTAATGCAGATGCAGAGGCCTGGATTCACTCTGCCTTTGGCATGCAAATGTATATATGTAATTTATGCTGATGTTCAGCAGAAGTCATTTATGACTTACATGGGACTGATACTCATTATGCTGATAGGATACCTTGGGTGGATGTACTCTTTGTTGAAGAGATGTATGTGTTAAAAACTCCTGAGAGAGATGAAATATCCAGAATTAGCATGATATAAGTGACAATAAAGAGAAGAATGGAAAATGAATAGATAGTAAAACACTGCCAGATTTGTCAGCAGTGATAGAATGAGTTTGACTAATTATAATGTAATTTAACATATTTTTCCTTCTCTAATCCTTCAGATCTGTGTTAATAATAGCAAATTAATCCTCACAACAGCTTTGCAAGGTAGATATAAATATGAAATCACCTTTTAAAGCTTGATCAGCATGTATAGATAGGCTAGGTTAGATTTAAAACCTGACAGCATATTGAATTTTGTATCTATTAATGCAAAATAGTTCTTACTGTAACACCAAATAAAATGGAAAATAAATTCTAAGATTGCCAGGTTCTTTTCCTTTGCCACCCCAAAATCAAACTGTGAGCCACTTGGAGGTTAAATCAGTGTCTAATTAACAGCAGTTTGGAAGAGGAAGACCCGGTTTAAAGACGATGGGAGTATTGACTTAAGTTTCTATTTTTTTTAAGGTACTTTAAACTGCAGTAAAAATGTCCAAAAAGTGTTCACAGTTTACTATTCAGTTTAAATTAAAACTTTAATTTAAAAACTTTCCTCTATAGGCATGTCTTAAGAGAGTTTTAAATTGTCCTTCTATGGCAGGCAAATGAAAAACACGTGGACATAACTGTTAACGCAATTGGTGCCCTTCTTGTTACTGAACAATGAGATACGAATTTAGAGTATAGGGAGACTGAAAAGCTATTTCATGAGGTTAGCATCCTTTTCTACTACATTGACTTCCTCTTCTTTCCCTTAGAACAAGAAGGTGTATAGAAACGTCATTATAAATGGGAGAAAGAAAGAAAGAACCGAATGAACTGCTTGAACACAGAACTGAGAAAGACCAATTCTGAGCCACTGAATGCAGTCTTCCCCAAGAGCCAGAAGCATTTAAACGATCACACAGAAGGCTATATCAAAGAGCTACTTGAGGCACCACCAAAAGCAGCACATTACATTAGATTTAGGATAGATCTAGGACATGAGTAATTGCTCAAATCTGTGCAGTAAGC